ACAAAAATAGCTTGCTAGAAAAGGAACACAAATACAGAATCTCAAAAATAAAGTTCTGCAAAAACATTTATTTGGGATAAAAAATCAGTTCCATAACAACAGATTTGATTAAAAACAAATACAGTCAATCACAAAAAACGTATATTCAACATTCAGGTTCATGAAAAGGAAAAACTGCAAAGCTCAAACCTTTAATGCTCGTTTGATAACCATTTGGCTTTTTGTTTTTGCTTTTTTGTGCTTAAGATATGGTGGTAGTATCAAATGGTTATCAACCGAGTGCTTAACTACTTAGTTGCATTCTCCGTAAACACATCCAAATAGGAAGGCCATTAGGGATAGGATTTCCAAGTTCAAAATGTTTACATATAAACGGCTAAAATAAAACTATAAAATGAATCAAATGAAATAAAATTTTAATTTACCTTTTTTCTCCAATAAAGCCCTGCTGCCTCCTTCCCCTTCTTTGTACCGGAAAACTCGTTGCTTCGCCGCCGTCGTGCCGATGGAGAACAGCCTACGCTGCAGATGGAGTCCGTATAGTGGCTGGTGCTCCACTCCCAGTTCTGTCCTCCTTTGTCATCACAAATTCCCGCGTTGGTTCTACGCCTTCTTCGTGTTCATTGTCTTCTGCATTCAGCAAATAAAAAACCCACAAATTAAAATCCACCAAAAAACAAATCCACAAATTAAAATTCACAAAAATAGAAACCCACCACTGGTTTTCAAGTTCCATTGATGCTAGTGTTGAAAAGTTTGATTTTTTTTTTAATTTTTTTAGAAACAGAGCAAAAAACCCAGAATTTGTTTTGATTTTCAAATAAAAAACCCACATATTAATTTCGGGTTTCATTGACGTTGGTAAGGAAAAGATTGAAACTTTTCTTACTTTTTTTATAAAACGCAGCCAAAAAAAAAAAAAAACCAAAAACCTGTATGAGCTCCACGAGAAAATGGATGTCTTTCTAGTGAAGTTCGGCTGAGAGGCTGGTGACCGCATGGCGAAGGTCGAGAGTTAAAGGGTTTGCTTCTTTCTTCCCTATCAAGTACTTTTTGGTCCTAATTTCTTTTATGTGACTTTAAGCTGAAGCTGTGGCTTTTTCATCTCTGTGGCTCCATTCTGCAGAAACCCAGTTCACATAAAAATTTATGAACGATCAGTCATAAGCTCAGGGAGATAGAGAGAGAAGTCGCTCCAGCAAAATGATGGGGGAGCTTGGTTTTCTTGCTCTGGAGTTTCGGGTGAGAAAAAGAATAAAAAGTCAACATTCAGCATGCAGGGCCGCTGCAATGGCAGTGCTCGGATTTGCCCGGGAGCACTGTTCTAAAAATTCCCCGTTAGACGGTTAGTCAATCTCCCGATTGAAGAACTTTAACCAAAAGCACCCGGTACTGTTTATTTTAACAAAAAATCACATTTTTACACTAAAAAGTCAATCCTGGTACTATTCACTTTACCCTTCATTTTGTCCTTATCATTAAAACTCAAAGTTTTTAAGCCATTTTCATTAGTTTTCCTCTTGATGATTAATGCTTACGTATTTGAAAATTAAAAAATAACACTTAGACCTCCTAAGATAGGGGTGGAATTTTTTCCCGAAAATCCCGAACCATCCCGATCCCATCCCGAAATTAGCCCGAAAAATTCCCGAACCGAATTTCCCAAAACATTCGGTACCCGAAACCGATCCCTACCCAAAAGTTTCGGTTTGGGATTCGGCCACAGCTTTGAAAGCTTTCGGGAATCCCGAACCAAACCGAATATTATATTTATTTATTTTTAATTTTTAATTAAAAATTACTTGAACCGTTGGATTTGTTAAAATCTAATCCAACCGTCCATAGTTAGGTCATTTGTTTGTTAGGTTATCAGACTCTCTCAGTCGCTCTCTCTCTCACTTCACTGGCTCACTCACACACACTCTCACTCTCAAAGTCACTCTCACAGTCCCCGCTCCACTCCTCTTTCGAATCCACGCCACTCCTCGTCCATCACTCCATTGACTCATACCACTCCACTCCTCCGTCGAATCCATGTCGGTCCTCGTCGTCCATTGACTCACGCCACTTCTCCATCGACTCACACTCACACACTCGAATCCGACACCAATCGAGTCCCAAAATCCAGGTTAGTAGGCCCAGAAGCTTTCCCAGTTGCATGTAACTCTTCATCTCTGTGCCTCGAGAGATTTCTTCACTGATTAGCACAACAAATATCATAGAGAGAGAGAGAGAGAGTGGGAGTGTGTAAGAGAGAGAGAGAGAATGAGAAAGAATCAATTTCGAGCAGTCCTAATCATCTTCTTGTTTTTCTTCGTCTTCAGTATCTGTGATGCACTATACGGACCATCATCGCCAGTTCTTCAGCTAACTCCTTCCAACTTCAAGTCCAAGGTAAATGTTGAAACTTTACCAGTAATTGGGTGTACCCTTTTCAGATTCTTTAGTTTTTTGCATTAAATCTATTGGAATTTGTCACCGTTTGGATTGAAAAGCACTTGGGCTTCAATTTCAAACACGTTTTACTCATTCATGTGGATGTTAAGTTTTAATTTGTTTTTGCTTTCTCCGGTCCATTTTTCATTTGGCATGCCCTGCCATTTTTCATTTTCAATCCAGCAAATATTTTCATTTTTGCATGCCCTGCTATTTGGCAGCAAATATTTTTCTCTTTGCATGCCCTGCAACGATTGTGAAGACTTGGTTAGTGTGATACTTAATTTTGGCAATTTGATTTTGTATTCAGGTAAGATTTTAAAGCAGCTATCAGAGATAACTAGCAGGGAGGTTCTAACTTATTTAAATTCATTCGGAAGTTTGGTTTGTAACTTAATTTAAATTCATTTGGAAGTTTGGTTTGTAAAACTTAACTTATTTCATTTTGGTTGCATGCACTTTTAATTAACTAATTTGTTACAATTGTGAACTTAAGCTTAACTTGTTAGTTGTTGCTTCCTTGGTATAAAAATTGAAACAGGTGTGATATTGAGAATTTGTGATATTGTGATGAAATTGAAACAGGTGGGCTGTGCAGCCTGTGCTTGTGTGGGCAGTGGCTGGTTGCAATTGCTAATTGTAACCCTTTTTTTTTTTTTTTTTAATGAAAAAAGGGTGGGCTTACCCTTTAAAGGGTGGGCTTACTCTTTAAAAGCCCAACATTTTGGGCTTCAAATTGAAAAAAGCTTAAAATTGTAAAAAGTTATAAAAGCCCAACATTTTGGGCTTCAAGGCCCAATCCTAAAGTTACCCGAAAATCCCGAAACACTTTCGGGAATCCCGAATTTCGGGATATGAATAGTTTTGGTTCGGTTTTGGGATATAAAATCTCATCCCGAAATGTTTTGGTTTGGGAATCGGGTTCGGGGTTTCGGTTCGGGATCCCGACCCGAACCAGCCCTATCCTAAGGTGCCCGCCTAATCTATCTAAGCATCTGCTTAGGTTGCAACTCATTGAGACAAAAAATAAATAACTTTTATTTTGTGTTTTAATTTTTTTAATAAATTATAAGAGATTTATTGTGGACTTAAATGAACACACATTATATGTTTGTTCTCTATATTTTTATTATGTTCCAATACTTTATAATATATATATATATATATATATATCATTCTATTTCGTAGTTTATGATGAAATTATTTATATTTTAAGTATAAACTAACACTTATTTATATGAAATATAATAAATTTACATAAATCCGCCTAGTCCGTCTCGGCGCTAAGCCCCAGCTCGAGTTCAGACTAGCGCTTAGCGTCTTTTAAAACTTTGTCTGAAAATAAGCTGAAGCGCTAAGCCCCAGCTCGCGTTCAGACTAGCGCTTAACGTCTTTTAAAACTTTGTTTGAAAATAAGCTGAAGAAAACTGAGATGTCACTCTCAAATTAATTGGTTTTAAATTTCTACTTTAATTGATAACAATAAGATACTCTTTTATTTTTACATTTTTATAAGCTTTTTATATGACAAATTGAGTTATGAAAAACGTGTGGTTGTTGAGCTTCACAAGTAAACCAATTTGTTTTGATATTATAAAATATATTAAAGTTTTATTATAAACTAATAAGAAATATAGAGAATAAGTTAATGTACTTATAAGCTTTCGTAAGATTTTTTTTATTAATATGAGATTTATTTATATCATATATTCTTATATGTGATGAATTTTTAAGTTTAATATGTAAATAACATAAACAAAATAATGTAAACTGCATGTAACTATTAGAATTCAAGTATAAGACAACTTGCTCGAACATAATGAGTTAATCAATGAAGAGAAGAGAAGGTTTGTGCATGTACTGCTGCGAGTATTTTTGACACGACCTATCAAGTCTCCCCGCTTAATTTTTAGACTTGGATTGTCTTCCCTCCAATTTTTGTGCCCTTCTTGTGCCCTTCTGTTTTTGTGGTCACGGTTAAGCCACGTCAACATTTTATATTACTATTTTTTTTTATTTTATTATTTTTATAAAAAATAATATAAAATATTAACGTGGCTTAACCGTGACCACACAAAACAGAAGGGCACGAGAGGGCACCTAAATGGGAGGGCAGAAAATCCAAGTCCTTAATTTTTTCAATAATGATACTCAATTTGTCTTGTCAAAAGATTTTCATGCAGGATTTAGATTTACACGATTTTCTTTCTCTTCATTACTCTGTCACCACTTTCTCCGATGCAACCTCAGCCAAGTTATACCACCAAACAACCACCTTCTCCTAGTTACTGTCACCACTTTCTCCGATGCAACCCCAGCTAAGTTACACCCACAAACGCTTCTAAACCCATCCGCTCAAAAGTTGAAGCTTTGTTTTTTTTTTTTCTTCTGGATTTGAGTTTTTGACATATTTAGTAGTTTTTCAGTGAAAAATCCAAAGCAAAAACACCAAGCTTCCCCATTTTTCTGCTGGAGCACCAAAAAAAGGCCAAAACTTTGTATTTCTTAGCAGCAGGAAGGTATGCTTTTCCTCTCTTGAGCTTATGGCTGATCATTGTCTTAAATTTCTGCATTTCTCACATTTGTAAAACTGTATTTTCTTACTAGGTTGTCTGGCACAAACTCTCTCTGCCTCTGCATGCTGACTAGGCCACCATGGCAAACGACGCAAATGAAGCTTTACGTTCCGCTAAACTTCACATAGAAGAGATTAGGACCAAAAAGTTCTCAATAGGGAAGAAAGAAGCAAACCCTTTGACTCTCGATCTTCACCATGCCGTCACTAGTCTCTCTGCCGAGCTTTACCAGAAGGACATCCATTTTCTCATGGAGCTCATACAGGTATTTTCCTCTTTTTTTTTTGTTTTTTTTCAGAAAAAGTAAAAAAGTTCAATTTTTTTCTTACTACCGTGGGTGAAACTTGAAATTGAAAACAGTTTGTGGTTTTTTTATGCGAATTTTAATTGGTGGGTTTGTTTTTTCGTTGATTTTTATATGTGGGGTTTTGATTTGAAAATAGAAAAAAATCAAAACAATTTGTGGGTATTTTGCTATGTTTCTAACAAAAAAAAGTGAAAAAGTTTCAAACTTTTCGATACTAGCATCAATGGAACTTGAAAACAAATTATGGGTTTCCTTTTTTTTTTTGTGAATTTTAATTTGTGGGATTGTTTTTTTCGTGGATTTTAATTTTTGATTTTTTGATTTGCAGAATGCAGAAGACAATGAATACAAAGAAGGGGTGGAACCAACATTGGAATTTGTGCTGACAAAGAAGGACATAACTGGGAGTGGAGCACCAGCTACTCTGCTTGTTTTTAATAACGAGGTTGGCTTTTCCAGGAAGAATATGGACTCGATTTGCAGCATAGGCCGTTCCACAAAGAAGGGAAAGAGACGGCAGGGATTTATTGGAGAAAAGGGTAAACTATTAACAACTGAGTTTTATTGGGTTTTTGTTTCTTCATTAATTTTATTTGTGCATGCAATACAAACTAAAAATTTCACGCATTTGACGTCTATATGTACAAATATATATCAGAATTCAGAATGAAGGAATCTCCATATTGTTTTCTGCATCAGCGAGTTAGGAAGTTTCTGAATTTAGACCTTCTACCATGTTTCCTTCACATGCACACTTTCGACATGTACTGAATGCATAATGTAGTTCTAATTTTAACCGGAGAGAGTTAAATTCTTCTGAAAAAGAACTAGTTGTTTGAGTTGTTTACATGCATTTGTTATAAGAGTTGAGTTATCATTAAGTGCCTTCTGAACTATTGGTCATCAAGTTGAAGGTGAACTGTTGAACTCATAATACTGGTTTTGCTTGCAGGTATTGGATTTAAAAGTGTATTCCTTGTGAGTTCACGGCCTCATATATTTAGCAACGGATATCAGGTCAGTTTTATGGAAGAACCAAATCAAGATTGTGGTATTGGTTATATAGTTCCTGAATGGGTTAGTGGAAAGCCAAATTTATCAAGTATATGGGAGGTGTATGGTTTCAACAAAATCTTGCCAACAACTACGTTTATTCTTCCTCTAAAGCCTGACAAGGTAGAAGCTGTGAGAGTGCAGCTGTCAGAGCTGCACCCAGAGCTTCTCCTGTTCTTATCCAAGATAAAGCGCATATACGTACGTGGATGTGATCCACAAGAAGCTGATGATGTCTCCACAATCTCTATATTCAGTGAGACTGAGCATGTGAACTTGAGTGATAAAGGAGCCAATTCACTTGTTGTTCAACTTTCTGCGAAAGAAAAAAAATGTGATACTGATGAGTTGTGCAAGTATTATTTGTGGAGAGAGTCATTTCCAGTAAAACCGGGCAATAGAGTTAATACAAGGATGGATGTGGAGGAATGGGTCATCACCCTTGCTTTCCCATTTGGAGAAAGACTGAGAAGGGGAACGTCGTCTGTTGGTGTATTTTCTTTCCTGCCGACTGCAATGGTCACCAACCTCCCCTTTGTAATTCAAGCTGATTTCATTCTTGCTTCTTCACGAGAATCTATTCTGTTGGATGATGTCTGGAACTTGGGAATACTTGAATGTGTGCCATCCGCCTTTGTGAATGCCTTCCAGTCATGTGTGAGAGAGCTCTCCCTCTTTCCTTCACCTGGTCAGGCATTTGAGTTCTTACCTGCTCAAGCTTCTCCGATTCCCACATTTGACGACTTAAGGGAGTCTATTAGAATTAAATTGGAAGGTTTACAGATAGTGCCTTGTCAAATGCTTTCTGGCAGGAATTGTTTGTTCCTGCAGCCTAAACATGCAGTTCGGATCTTGCCAAAATTTAGGGCCCTAGTGCTTCAAATGAAAAGTGAAGGGGCTTTTTCAAGTGGTTCACCTTTATTGAAGAGGGTCTTGCATTCGTCTCTGGACCTTGAAAAATACAGTGCAGTTCTGTACTTTCTAGGTGTGGTATGGGCTAGTGGTCATTGGTACACAGAATGCATCAGATCCTGCAATCTTCTGATGGTATCTGATGATGTCTACATTGATCTGCTTGATTTTATTGCTGACAATGAGGTAATGACGTCAAAGCATATTTCGGTCATACCTCTTATTAAATACATCAATCGGGAAGGCAATTTGCAATTGTGTACAATTACCCAAACCGCAAAGGCGGAGTCCAAGATTCAGTATGCTGAGGAGACGGAAGTTCATACATGGCTGAACAAATGCAATATGGAGTTTGGATGTCCTGATAATATGTATTTCTTGCCAGATAATGTACAAAAAGCTCTTTTAGATAATCAGAGAAGTGTTGCCAGAGAGAAAAAATCAAGGCACGGGATAAAATCTTCTGTCTGCAATTGGCTTTGCAACTATCCAAGAGTGAAATCTTGTACAGCATATGATTATGCTGTATTTCTTTGCAATCATGTAAACAAGGAGCCAGGTCTTGCACTTACCCTTGCTAATTTCCTTTATCATGCGCACAAGAAATCCTTCCTTAATGATTATGAGACTTCTTATATTTGTAGAAGTTTCCCGCTTGTTGATGGAGCTGACCGTGTCAGAATGCAAAGAACTGTTACTCTTGTCCCTGCATCAGGTAGCAAATGGGTGAAGTTGTTTGGTTCCCAGAATCCATTTGTAGAACAGAACTATGTTGATATAGGGAATGCTTACGCAAAAAGTAGTATGTTTTTGGGAGACTCGGTGCTTGAGAAGGAGCTTCTTAATTTTATTGAAAAGCACTGTAAAGCTATGGACTTACCCGAGTTGTCTCCTCCAGATGTGGTTTTAGAGAAAGCATCTCATGAACTATCTAGTGAGCAGGCCTTTTTGCTGCTTGATTGGATCAGATTACTCCGGACTAAGGGTTCATCTCTTCCGACAAAGTTCATTGAAAGCATTCGAGGTGGTAAGTGGATGAAGACATACTCAGGTTATAGTTCCCCAAGAAAGGCCATTCTTCCAGATGAAGCAGGTAAATCTATTCTTGATATGATGAAGCATGTTCTGAAGGATGTCTGTATTATAGACCTGGAATTTTACATGAATCGGATCAATCTTTATCAAGATGAATTGAAATTTCTTGGTGTCGGGCATGGATCATATGATGTGAGGAAGCTGGTTACTAATTGCTTAAAGTCTCTTGCTTCTCCTCAAATGAGCAAAGACTGCGCATTTTCTTTGTTGAATTTCATTAGTTTCTGTAGAGGGAGGAATGTGATTGACAAGGATTGGTTGACTGTTATGAAGGAGAAGAAGTGGCTGAAGACTCATCAGGGTTATAGTGCTCCAAAGGGAACTATTCTTTTGCCGTCTGAGATAGAAGTGGAAACCTGTTTGAAAATCACAAATCTTCCAATTGTTGATGAAACATTCTATGGAAGCAGATTAAGTTGTTTCATATCTGAGTTAACGCTACTTGGAGTTGCATGTGGTCTTGAGGAGGTGCAGAAATCGATTGCAGAGAATATGAATTTAACATCAAATCTGTCATCCATGACTGGTAGTTGTGGTTTGTTGATTCTTAAGTGTATCAGATGCTTGGGGTCTAGGGCTGCAGGCTTAATTAACAGGATTAAATGTCAACCTTGGATGAAGACAAATTTGGGTTTTAAAAGCCCTTCAGAAACGGCTCTTCCTGGTTCCCAATGGGGTTCTTTGTTCACTGCTCTCCAGGTTCCTGCCATAGATGCACAGTATTATGGGGATGCAATTACACATTTTGTTGAGGAGTTGAATGCCTTGGAAGTTGTAGTTGATGATTCTGGAGCATCTAAGATGATTGCTGTCCAATTTAATTCCCTAGATGTCACTGCTAGGTTGCATCCGGGAACTGAGTCAAACTATGTCTTTATCGTCCCCTGAACTGATGTGGTTGACATCTGAGAAGTGGTTAAAAACACGACATGGTTACCAGACTCCTAGAGAATCAATTCTTTTTAGCTCCAAATGGGGGTCAATCTCGTTCTTTGTTGATCTTCCTCTAATTGATGACGCGTATTATGGTATCGACATATATAAGTTCAGGGATGAGCTGCAGATATTGGGTGTAATCATGGATTTTGAACAAGGAGCATCATTCGTTGCTAAAGGTGTCCGCAGCCCTATTGAAGGGGAACTACTTAGTGCAGATGGTATGATGTCAATTCTAGAGTGCATTAAGCATCTGATGTCAAGTTCTCTTGATGAGGCTTTAGTGGACGACTTGGTCAGTAATGTCGCAAAAGGCAGGTGTTTGAAGACCGTGAGTGGTTACAAAACTCCAGAAGAATGTGTTCTTTTTGATCCAACATGGGATTGTATTCTAAAGAGGTCGGATGTGCCCAGCATTGATGAATTTTATTTTGGAACTAACATTCACGCATATAAGAATCAGTTGAGAGATATTGGTGTGAAGGTAGATCTTTTGGATGTTTGTTCTTTTCTTTCTGCATTTCTTTTGTCCCAGACAAAAACGGCTGTAATAAGAAGGATTTATAGCTTCCTTAACAAGTTCAAGTGGAGTCCAACAGTTCAAGATAAAAGCAACTCTCAGGTGTGGATACCTAATCCCGAGGGCCCAGGTGTGTGGGTTAATTCTCAAGATTGTGTACTTCATGATCGGAAAAAGCTATTCGGCTCCAGCCTGTTTTGTCTTGACAAGTTTTACAAGAAAGAGCTCCTCCCCGTGTTTTCTTCAGCTTTTGGAGTTTCCGATAATCCTTCCGTCAGTAACTACGTGCAGCTATGGAACAATTGGGCCTTGAGGGATAACTCTCAAGTAACTGTCAGAGAATGCAGCTTGTTTTGCGAATATATTGTAGACAACTGGAATCAAGACATAGAAGATAATCTGAAGCTGAACTTGATCAGATTACCTGCCACAATGTCCACAGTTGAAGAAATATATCTGATGAGTAGAGAGGAAGTGTTCATTGCTGATGACTTGCAACTGAAAAAGATTTTCTCGAGCTTCGACAAGGCTCCTTTGTTTGTGTGGATTCCCAACAGTTTCAGCGAGTTTCTTATTTCTCCTAGAAGGCTGCATCAAATTTATGAATTACTTGGAGTTAGAAAGGTTTCTGACTCAGTTGAGTGCAATGTCAGTAGCATGCTATCGGTGGATCATTGTGAAAAGGTTGATGCAAGAAACGGATTGATAGGAAGGGGCTTAATCAAAATTATTCTCGGTTTTCTTGCTGGTCCCGAGGTAAACATGTCAATGAAAGAGAGACACAACGCTGCTAAATCAGTGGTTATGCTGTCGGTGTACAAGAGCGACAAACCAATTCAAGTCTGTTACAGACTAGTTCCATCTGCAAGTACATCAGTGGAAGTGGAAAAGTTAAAGCTGGTTCTTTGGGAGAAGGATTCTCAGCGGTTGCTTATGGATAAATCTGGCTATGAAAACGGGAAAGATGATCTTGAATTTGTTACGTCTTTTGCTGACGAACTCGCACAAGGATTGTTAGCACAGGCAAAACCCACTGCAGCAGATACATTGAGTAAGATTATCCAAATTGGGTTCATGTTTCATTTCAATGAGAATGAAGTTGATTTTTTGCTGATGAAGCAAAATTTGGAGCTGTTAGTGGAGGATGTGGCGTTTCTCGACAGTGCGTTCCTCTCTTCAGAAGGACCTTCTCGTGTTTACCGAAAGCGTGCAAGCAAGAAGTTGGAGCTTGTAGGCCCTTCCACACCAATGCTTTCCGGCAAGAAACGACGTCAGTGAAAGAGGGGCTTGGCCTCGTATGTTTTCTGTGCTGTAGAATGGATGTATCTGAACAGTTTGTGCCTTATTCTGTATGTACAAAAGTTAGTGGATGATGAACTTCTTGAATCTTATCCGTGCAATTATTACTTACTTTTCCCTCTTTTCTTACCGCTCGACCAACCGCAACAACACACATTAGAGGTCATCCCCATTTATGCCTTCACTATTCACTATTTTAACCAGTCTAAAATGTATCCATTTCATATAATATATATATAAATATATATAATATATATTTATTTTTCTTAAGAAGTTGGAAAGTATATTGGTGTTGTTTTCATGGGGACCAATGCTTATTTTATATAAATTTGATGATTCATATGGGGTTTCGTTTAATTAATAATCCAAGATAAATCGAACACAAAACTGATAAAACTGGCAAACCAAAAAAAGAAAGAGTTCTGCAGTCTGTACAATTGGCCAAGTGTGGATCATGACCGTAATTTTTATCTTTTTACAACTGATCCACAGTAAATTGTAATCTGAAATGTGGTGGTGGGTTGAAAAGAGCTCAGCCAATTTCCACAATCCAGCCTTTCTTATCCCCAATCTGTCCCGTTTGAATTCCTACTAGGGTTGAGTAAAGTTGTGGACATGCAGTCCCAGCTCCCGTTTTGTACTCCATCCTGCACATGAGAGAAAGTCAGTATATTCTTTTCTTCGAGCGATATGCTAATATAATCTAAACACGGAATTTAGATCCAGATGGAGCACATTGCTCTAGCCGACTTGATTATGCCTAGCTATGTATATATTGTTTTCTTCCTTGTCTAAATAAAATAATCGAATTTCGAATGCTTCTATAGTACTACCTTTTGCCTTGATATGTAATGCTGCCCACAGGAGCAACACCAACAGCAGTTCCAGTGCAGAACACTTCATCGGCTTCACTCAATTCTTCCACCGGAATAACTCGTTCCTCAACCTAAACGCATTTGGAGGGCAGTGTTAGAATCAGTCCATAAGGGAGATAAGAAATGGTGTAATCTATTGGCAGGGAAAATCACCTGGTAACCATGATCACGAGCAATTTCAATAATACTTCTTCGAGTAACTCCCGAAAGAATAGTCCCCGATGTGGCAGGAGTTGAAATCACGTTGCCTTTCACAATAAAAATGTTGCAAGAAGAGACCTCCTCCAGATTTTTGTTATGTACTGAATCGAGATATAGAACATCCGAAAATCCCTTGCTTTTTGCTCTGGTTAGTGCCTTCAAAACCTACATATATCCAGTACAGGTTATAAGTTATAAAGTTAGTAACACATGAAAACCCTAATTCAAAACAGTCGTAATTGCTCTGCTTACCGGGGCATAATTGGTAATGGTTTTGACACCTCCAGCTCCGCCACGAGAGGCACGATCGTACTCCTCCTCCACATATACGTTCAAGGGTGCAGAGCCCTCCTATTAAAACAATAAGTACATAGATCTTATTATAATTAACATACATAACGCTCGCGTCTGCATGAAAAGTGTATTGCTAACCTTGAAATAATTTCTGACCGGGGAAGCATATGTAAGGAATGTGTACTCAGGTGACGGTGCCAAGCCTAATATGGGGCCACTTCCTAGAAGTAGAGGCCTAATATACAAAGACCCTTTGCCTGGAGGAGGAACCTGTTTTTCGTCATGGCACAGATATGTAAACTTGTAAATAATTTGTACACAAATTCCATACTCCAGGAAGAGATTTAACTCGAAACAAATAATTCAAGTTTCCGACAGCAATTACCCAACGCTTGTTTGCTTGAGCAGTTTGCTTCACGGCATCAATGAATTGATCAACCGACAGTGAGGGCATGCACATTCTTTCTGCGCCAATCTTCATCCGCATTGCGTTCTGGTCTGGACGAAAAAGAAGGAGATTCCCATCTTTCTTCCTGTGTGCTTTTGTGCCTTCATATATTGCCTGTTTACATTAAGTCAGCCTTTTCAACATCTCGAACTCTAATTATGTTTTCCCCAAAACAAAAATCCTACTTAAGCCTATATATCGAGCGTGTTTTATAACCAATTTCGATTGAAAATCTTACCTGTCCATAATTTAAAACTCCAGCAGCAGGGTTAAGTTCAATATTTCCATAACGCCTAAGTTGGCCTTGTTCAAATTTCCCGTCGTTGGAACATTTCATAACGTACATGTAATCAGTTTGCACTAAACCAAACCCTAGATTATCCCAATCCACATCAGCATACTCATGCTTATCAAGATCATAGCTGCACAAATTATGCAGAAAACATAAAAAAAAACATGCCAATTAACCCACCACCAACGCTTATATGCATATTCCCACAGCAGTGAATGTTAAGATAATCAATCAAATTGACAACCGAAGGTTCTGAAAGAAAAACACGAAATGTTGGAGCATGTGATTTTCAATTCTTTTAGTTCATAGTAGCTACTAATCAATAAGCTATTTGCTTTATAATATAATATCTCAGAATTACTTCAAGCATTTATATGTGAATGATAACGTGGAACACAAGAAAGTTTCAAGCTGCCAAATTTTGAAGCCATTCCTAATCATACCTGTATTCAAATGGATCACTTGCTTGTTCTGCATTCGGTGAAGCTACAGTTCCGAAGCAACGGTAAACTCCAAGATTCTAATTAACACGAGAAAACAGATATCAGGAAAGCATTAAACACGTGAAACATGCAATGTAATATGAGTCGTGTTCCAATTCACGTCTCATAAAACGAGTTGACATTCATGGAACTATAGTACGGTATTAATTAACAGATATGTGTGTTATGAAATGGATAAATTAGTAAGATTATGCGACAACGTAATAAAACATGGAATCTAAAACAGGGGAAATCGAAAACAGAGGAAGTGAAAGAATGATTAACCTTGGACGACGGAGATAATGAAGAAGCAACTCCAAGAGATCGAACCAACTTATGAAACCTTATCGTCCTTTGAATCATGGTTGGTGTTGTCTCTCTGTCTGCCTCGAAATCTCACAACCCAAAACGCGAATCTAGAATTTGAGCAAGGATAGAAAACTTAGAGGGAGAGAGAGAGAGAGAGAGAGAGAGAGAGAGAGAGAGAGGTGGGATAGGGATACGAAGAGAGGGTATCAAACATGGGGAGAAGGATGGGCGATGGGTCACATTTATATCGCGCCAAGTGAGATG